CTCCTCTCTCTCTCTCTCTCCTTCTCTCTCTAAGCCTACTTTCTATTCACTGCGCGCTGGCCTCTCTCTTTCTCTCTCTCCCTCCCTTTCTCTCTACTCTCTGTCCACCACCACTGCGCGCTGGTCTCTCTCTCCCTCACCCCTCACCCCTCACCCCTCTCCCTCTCCCTCCCTATCTCTCTCGGGTCCCGTGAATGCGTGTGAGCAGTAACTCCTCACTAGTACAACACACGCGCTATAACTCGCTTCGGATCAAGGGTTTTTCTTACTCATTTATTCCACCCTCGTTAGTAGAGAGTAGTGTTTTTTTCCTTGCTGTGGTGATGCAAGTTGTGATTTATTATTCAGGTAGTCCAACGTCGCGTTAGACGATGCTGATGTTTGTGGTGTTCTTATTTATGAAATTCTTTAACATCTCAGATTTTTTTTCTCCGGATCAATTTGTTATTTGCTTTGAGCATTTATTTTTCATTTGTTTATTTATTTATTTATTTTGATGTATTTACTTATTTGTTTATGTATTTATTTGTTTTTATTTATTTATTTTTTTTTAAATTCATTTATGTATTTTTATTTACTTGTTTCTTTGTTTGTTTCTTTGGTTTTTTTTTTTTTTTTTTCAATATTGGTTTTATTTGTTTTTTATCCACTCGTTCTTCAGAAAAAATGTCGCCCGTTTTTTTAAAATAATATTTTCTTTTGTTGTTTTGCTTTGTTCGATTTTTAAAAGTTTTTTTTTTTTTGTTTAAGCTTCTTGTTCTTTTTATCATGTCTCGAAGTTACCTTATGTGTAATCTGGTTGTTCCAATTTCCGTCATCTTCGGACTCAAAAGTTGCGTGTCGTGTTTGGACAAGCCAGAGTTCGTAGTCGTGCGTGGCGGATATTGCTCTTTCGCTGCCACCTTCCTTCTTCGGGAGTTTGTGATAAAGTGGATTAAAGAGTGTTTCTTGGTGCTGGACTAAGTGTGTGTAGCACATGTGTAGTATGTGTGTAGTCCTGATGTGACCCTGCGTGTCAAGTGGAGAAAGGAGGAGGGGGGTTCTTGCGGATGGCTGTAGGGTGTCACTGGTAGTCCTACTTTTTTCCCTCCGTTGTTTTAAGACCTCCCGAGGAAAGGAATGAATGGACAACCATGATTGCCGATGTCTGCCATAGCCTAGATCTGGCACTGGATGATAATGTTTCTGTCACTTTCTGTCGTATGGGTGCGTGTGTGTGTGTGTGTGTGTGTGTGTGTGTGTGTGTGTGTGT